CATGCTATATCATCCCCATGAATATGCCAACATAAATTATACGTTTTACATAAAAACATAGGTTTGTTCTTAAAAAGCTTTATCTAGTAAAGGCATAGATTCAGTCTAATTGCCAGAGCCAAATATATCATTCTCCCACCAACATACAGTTACAGTAGCTACGCAATAGTGTTCTGTTTTTTTTTTTTTTTTTTGAAGTTCTAGGATACAAGCTGGAAAAATGGCACAGTGGTTCAGAGCATGTTTTACACTTGCAAATGACCTGGGTTAGGTTCTCAGCTCAATAATATGGTGGCTCATAACCATCTGTAACTCTAGTTATAGGGAATCTATTGCCTTCTCTATATCCTAAGCAAGTGGTACACAGATATACATGCAGGTAAAACACACACACACACACACACACACATATATATATATATATGAAAAATAAAATAAGTAAATATTAAAGAAAGAAAGAAAAAAGAAAGAGAGAAAGAAAGGAATATATGTTATCTGATTTCTTAAGAATAACAAGTAACTCAAGAAAGCTTAGTCTCTAATTGAAAGAAGTATGGCATATTCCAATTTTAAAATTGCAAATGAAAACACTCTATATGTATGATCAGTTTTATTAACAATACCTTTATAATTTATTAATAAGGCAATGTTTTATAAATAAAATAAAAAGATCATAAGAGAATTTAAAAATGGTAATTGAAAAATTTTTTCTAATCTCAAAGCTATGAACTTTATGCCCATTGCTTAGTAAACATTTGTCACCTACAGAAAATGATGCTTCTACTCATTCCTCATGTGCCATCTTTCTCTGGGGTGCGCTGGTCATGAGATTGGACCAGAAAAACACAGCTACCATAGTTACAAACTAAGTTGACAACATATCCATAAGCTGAGAAAAGTCCTTTGTTTTATTTGAAAACAATGGAGTGCTTGGGTGTTCACATTAGTTTAAGTTGTAGTACTTAGTTTTAAGCACTAAACCTGAAGTGTGTTAATAAACATTCCTAATAGTAAGGACGCTGTCACTATTAAAGGGCTCTAAACCAAAAGATTAGGCAGGCAGCTGTTGAAGAAACGTGCAACAACAACAACAACAAAAATGAGCTGTTTCCTCATAACTCTACATTCTTCTGAGAAAAATCACTTTCCCCTTTATTATCACAGTATTTGATTTTAGAGCAGTCTTGTTTTATGAATTTATGGTGGTCTTTGCATTCTGCTCTGAGGAGATAATAATATAATGAACATACAAACATATTAGATGAAAATTATTATTTTCATTTTTAGTTTTACCATATCTAGTGAGTAATGATCTAAATGCAGTGTGACTGCTCAGAGAGAACATGGAGTGATTGTGTGACTTTCAGGTGACAAGATACACGGTGTTGGCTGATGTGCTGTCCACTGTCAGGAACATTAATAAGTCTTCAGGATCTCAGGAAGATGAAGACCTTACACACTCAAATTAGGTCCATGAGGAGACTTTTATGAAATAGATATCCAGTAAGAATAAAGAGTGATTACTTACTTGAGGCATTAATCCATAGCACTTGCCTAATACTCTTTAACGATTTTAAAGTATGTTACTCTGTAGGAATTGAACTTAACTCATCAGCAACTGGAAGCACACAGACGCTCACTAGATCTTTACAATCTTACACTTTCCAGCCAGTTCCCCTGCGATGAAGCAGCAGCAGCAACAGTGTCACTGCAGAGCCTGTGGGGAAGCAGTCAGACCCAGAGCTCGATCACAGATCACATGGTGGAAGTCTAGGGAAGATGTGAATTATATAAAACAAACTGAAAATTTTGTGATGCTTGCAAAGAAATTCATGCTTCCATCATTTGGTTTTCATGGTGTGGATGCTTTGTGTCTAGTGAGTAGGTGACATTTATTGGCATCCTTTTATTCCAGTTTTAAAACAATGATTTCCTAATTCTACAGAATCTCTTTACCACTATAATTTTGTTGTATTTGTGTTGGAGATATAGAGACAGAAGGAGCAGCTCAACCTTAGTTCAGACTGACTTCAATCGAACTCACAGAAGCTCCTTTCTTAGCCTTCAAAGTGCTGGGTTCATAGGTGTTGCCACCACACCTGACTTTACTTTCCATTTGAGTCTCCTGTATGTATTAGTTAATGATATTCCAGCAATATTAAAATGGACTTATGATTATTAAATTATTAAAATGGACTTATGACATTTATCAGCTAAACTTAAATTTACTTGGAATATTTTCTGTATGCATATTTTAATAAACAATTGTATTTTGCAACTATTTAAAAACTTTGGGTATTTTGACTTTAAATAATTTAATACTAGTAATTAAAGAACTGAAAATATTTCTCATTGCTAATGAAAAGCTACCCAATACTATATCAGTAGCAGTGTAACAATGTTCAACTTAGACAGCTTAACATATTAAAAATTGAAACACTCAAAATCCTACAGAAAATTACTCTGTTTACATTCTTGTAAAGATAACTTTAAAAGAATATAAATAGTTTGTTTTCTTTTTTTGAAAAATAAAATACAAAGAGAAAAAATAAGTTAATGAATAAATGAGGGAGGGGTCTAGATGCTTTTGAGATAACCAAAAAATATACACCTCATTAGAAATTATTACAATAGAATAACCAAATCTATGAAAAAAATCTCAATTTTATTAATATAATGTTAAGACCATCTTACATTTTACTAAGCCATGAAGTGAAACTCTCCTAAGAATACTTAAGCATACACAAATTTAACAGAACAGAAAATTACTGATAAACACTAAATTAATTAATATTTGTTGCATAGTCCTTGTGAAGTTTTATATAAATCAATGCATAGGTTTGAGAAAAGTAGAAAAATGAGAAAATATAAAATATAATATATAATATTATATATACATACATATATATAATAAATGTACTTTTGCAGACCAATGAATGTATGTTCTTTGTGTTTTACCCTCTAAGCCATTTCAGGTGTTTTGTGAGAGGGTTGAAAATTTAACACAGGTGCCATTAGCTAGG